TGCCACTGTTGAGACTAAATTTTACTCACCATACAAGCAAGCTATTAGATCTGTGAATAAACACATTGAATCCCGAATACAAATGCATAAGAAGCCCTAGTGATGCAGTGCATTAAGCACTGGGCTGCAAACCACATGGTCAGTGGTTCAAACCCACCAACTGCTCCTCAGAAACCTTATACAGTACACAGGGTTGCTGAGTTGGGACTGATCCAACAGCACTCAACAACTGTAACCCTAAAACTAGACCAAGTGTAAGTCCTAGCCTTAGTCAATCCCTACCACTACCACTACCCCTAATCCTAACCATACCCAGGAATTCTGGTGAGATGCTATGGGATAAGCACTGGACCCCAAGATGGGTATGAACTGCAAGGTTGGCAGTTCAAATTCACCAGCCACTCCTCGGAAACCCTATACAGGGTCGTTATGAGTTGGAACCAACTTGACTGCACTGAACAACTACCACCATAACCTTAACATTAAACCAAAGTCCTAGATCTGGCTTAAACCTGGCCATGGTTCTAACCCTAACTCCTAACTCATACCACACCCCCAAAAATAAGAGTGCATAAAGATCAATATAAAAAAATTGTAGTTATGTTTAAAGTTGCTAAATAAAGAGAAATTCTAAGAGATCACAGAGGTAGTAAATGCCGGGAGCTAGTTCCATCCCTAAAACTGAGGAAAGAGATTGGAATTGTTAAAACTTTAAAAAACTCATAGGAAGGGCCTCACAGGGCTGAAACTCAAACCTGAGGAAGAGGTTGCCCGTTGGTGCTGATGACTCTCAGAGGGTACAGTGTAGCTGTTCTCCAAGTGTTGGTTAGCTGCAATGGGAACTCTCTCTGCTGGGGTGAAGAAATGTTGGCAAGCCCCCTGACAGGAAGCCCCCAGAAAGCTCCAATACAAACAGGAAGGAGTAATCCCTTCTTGGTTATCTAGGTTACCAATCTCCCTCTAGCGCCCCCTAACAGGGGTGGCTGACAAAGCTGGGATGTGGCTTACAGAGTCCTCGCCCTAGAGCCATAAAACTGAGCCTAGAAGAGTAAATTGGGAACTGAGACAAGAGCTTGTCACACAAGTGTTTACTAATTTTGGGGTTTTTTTTTTTTTTTCATGTTTTCTAAGAAAGGATGAAGTCAGGTGGAAGGTTCTGAAAAACCAGGACAAACCAAAAAGCTAACAATTACTCTAAAGCAAAGAAAATGAAGGGGACAGGGAAACTAGAGTACTAGAAATGGACCAACCAGAATGTAACTAATGAGAATATTGACACATTGTGAAAATTGTCAGTGAACAACTTTTGTAGAATTTATCAAATCAAACCTTAATTTGTGCAAATTTTCACTGAAAACACAAATTTTTTAAAAATAAGTGGAAAAGTTTCAATTTGATAAGCTAGGCACCAATTCATGTCTCTCCTTTAAAAAAAATTATTCATTAAAAAGTAATCAGAAGTATCTTTCATATTATTTTCTAAGGCAAAAATAAATGCATGTGACATGACTTACATTTTTACAAATTTCTTTCAAGTCTGACTTAACACAGACAGATCCTATCACGATTAATTTAGGCACCAAAAGTTCTGTCCCTTAAAGTTCTTATATGTGCTTTAGATGAACTCTTCAGTTTACACTTATATTTTTCATAAGAATGTTATGCTCAAGGCAAAAACCTTTTTTAATTGGGCTATTGTTTAATGATGGCTTCATGGGATAGTTTCATTTTAAAGATTATTTCAGGCAGTTAGATTGGGGGTTCCCCTAGTTTCAATGAATCCAGTAAGACTGTTCCACTTTTCCTCCTTTTGACTATTAAGTGCCATCAAGTCAGTTCTGACTCATAGTGAGCCAGTGTAGGGTTTCCAAGGAGCAGCTGGTGAGTTTGAACTGCCAACTCAGATTGACCTTGCAGCCACCAGGACTAGGACCCATCTATTGGATGCTTGGTCAGAACATTCTGTAATGGGAGTCGGGCACCATCCATCTCTTCTGATCTCATGATAATGGGATGTGAGTGTTTATGGAGAAATAGATTGCAGGTTTAATTGCCTCCTTCCTCTGCTGTTCCAGGGGAATAAAAGCCAACTGTTGTTATCTTAAAGGCCACCTGCAAACTTTAAGACTCCAGGTACTAGTTACTAAACTAGGAGGTAGAACAAAAACTCTAAAAACACCAGGGATGGAGATGGAGAGATGGGATTTAGTTGCCACAAACGACCAAAAGCCATCAGAAGCTGAGCTGGGGCAAGGATTTTCCCCTAGAGTCTTCAGAGGGTACATGGTTCTAATGACACTGTGATGTCAGACTTCTAGCCTCCAGAACTGAGTGAAGAGATTTTTATTTTAAACCACCATTTCTGAGACTTTGCTGTGGTTACTCTTGGAAACTAGAGTTCGGTGTGGTGCTGGAAGATAAGCACTGGTCCGCAAGGTCGGTGGTTCAAACTCACCAGCTGCTCCTCAGAAACCCTATACAGGGTCACTATGAGTCAGAACAACGTGATAGAACTTATTAACTATCACCCTTGGACACTAATATAATTACTGAGGCTTTTTTGCACTCCGTTAACTTTTGCATCTGAGAAGAGTGCCTTAGAGGCTTCATCCTAGTCCTGGCCTTGGTGGAAGGCAGAGCAGCAGAAAGAGCTGCCTTCAAGTTGCTTCTGATTCACGGCGACCCCATCTATGTCAGAGCGGAAATGTGCTCCTTAGAGTTTTCAACGCTGATTTTTCAGAAGCAGATCACCAGGCCTTTCTTTGTAAATATCTCTGGGTGAACTTGAACCCAGGGACACCACTAAAACCTAAGATCCTATGTAAGCAGTTACTAAAGTACGTTTGCTTTTATTAGGGAAAAGGAAGACTTCTTGAACACAGACACTTGCTTTTTAAAAATTTTTATTACAATTAAAATGACACAAAAGCAAATCAATTCATTTTGGTCAAAATAACTCATGTTTACATTATATATATAACAAACTGTACAATAAAATATATAAAATGTTTTCACATTTTGTACTTCAGTCATCTTCTTCTTCCTCTTCATCACTGATTACATACTTCCTATGCTTTTTGTTTGCTTTATCATCATCCTCGGCTTTTCTCTTTCCAGAAGGTTCACCTTCCTAAACAGATTTTTTAAAAACAAACAAACCTGACATCAATAGAGAACATTTCTAGGAAGGTTAATAAAAATAGCTCTGAGCTGAATGGCCCTCTCAGTACATAAAATCACTGTTTCATGGAGTACATTCGCCTTAAAACAAATGGTTAAAATAATTGCTAGTTTTCAAGTGTGCACATACGAGAGGCATCCACAAATGACAATTTCCCAGAGTTAATTATAAGCTAACTACAAAACATACTTCAGCCCCAGTGGATTGCTGAGGGAGAGCAAGGCAACTGTAACCCACATCTCAGAGGGGAGCCCTCAGCCCTTGAGAATGAGCAGGGCAAATGGGAAAGGGAGTTTGCCCATGAAAGGGAAGGGAAGGAACTCTAACAAGTAGGGCAAGGCTATGAAGGGGACAGGGAGGTCCGGAGCAGGAGAGCAGGTGGAGGAGAGAGAAGCTAGCAGGAGCCAGACACTGAGCACTCCCTCTCAGCAGGCAAGCTCTTTCCCCTACAAGCTCTGAGGAAAGGCTTGATACCTTTCCTTTCTACTGCCACCCTGTGTCCACCTTTCCCAGTCCCCTGGAGAAAAGACCATCACAGAGTTTCTCCCCCTTAGGCAACTCAGGGTTTCTAAAGTGTTTGCTGTCTACTAAAGTGAGGAATGACAAAAAAAATCCTCCGTCCTATTTTCCTCCGTTTTTTAACCTTAAACCCTGTTGGGGGACGGTAACTAGCATTTCCTGCTCAATTACTATTATGCTATTGTGCTGCCTGCCTACTTTCATATCTGTTCTTTACTATGTAACAAACAGCTCCACAAGGCAGTGAGCACAAACCTTGTGGAACAGACACAGAAACAGACAGACAATGTTAGAACACCAAGGCCACAAAAGTAGTCAAGACTCAAGTCCTTTCTCCCACACCAGGGAGTGCACTGGTGACAATGGTGGTTCTCTGGTGTGGGAACTGAAGGTTCAAAACTCCCCTGTATCTCATGGTGTTTGGATGGGTGGTCGTGTGGAAAATAAGGAGAGGGACCTAAAGCAAGCATGGACTCTTTCCTCTTCTTTTCCAATGCAACCTATGGCTAGGACTAAAACTGGACCAATGACGAGGCAATGGCCGGGTTTGGGAGATGGAGGCGGAAATAGAATCTTTGGTGAGAAACTGTGGGAAGCCTGAGAGAGAATACTGGGGATACACAGCGAGGGGCCCATTCAAAAGAGGCAACTTTAAGTCAGACCGTTTTAGGTTTCTAACTGTTCAGTCTATCTAATGGGTCATATTTCAAAAATAATATTACATAAGCCAACTGGAAGGCCCATGGCATGTCTCAATTCTCATTCACAGTTTCTGCTGCCAAGAAATAAAACAGCATCTGCTTAGATGATGACTCCTATTTGCCAACAGTTCAGCTGTAAATGCATCATTAAGATCTTGCCTCAATTTAAAACAAATACAGTATACTGCAGAGTAATGTAACCATTTCTGTCCAATCACAGAATGCCACTTCCAAGAGTTACTGGGAAATATTCAATGTGATACACAAAATCCTCGGAGTAGAATTCTGGAGTCTGAGACTTTGGGATGGTATGAATAGTTAACTTGCAGGTCTAACCAAAAGGTTGGAGGTTCAAGGAGAGCCAGAGATGCCTCATAAGAAAGGCCTGGAGACCCTGTGAAGCAGAGTTCCATCATGACACATATGGGGTCACCATGAGTTGGAACTGACTCAACACAACTGGGACGAACAGAATTCTGTTTCCCATAGGAAAAGAGCTCATGGAAACTCACAGGTCCTGAACGGTCAAAATGATCAAACTACTTTGCCATTCTGGGTAACAGGAACATCACATCCATTTCCTGCCATATGACAAAGCAATCTTCTGAACAATTATCCCACTGAAAATAGCAATGCTGAGTAAAGTATAAGTAAATCAGTGTGATGACAAGAAAGTCAGCCATAATTGAAGGACAAAAAGGAAGAGAAAGCTGAAACCCAGTGAGCTAAAGAGAGCACTAAAGCACTGTTGCTCCTTCAGGACATGCACCAAACTGTGTGAATATAAGCTTTGGTGTTCATGCCTGACAGGGTAAAGGGGACAGAAGCAAATGCTCTGTGAGCAGACTAACAGATCTATCACCAGTAAGGCTGAGATTCCAAAGAGCTGTATCTTTAGTCTAAGGATCAACCAGAAATAAGCTCAACCCCATTTCTTTGAGGCAAGGATAAGTGTTGCAACTACTCAACCTGCCACTATAGCAGAAGAAAAGCATAAACAGTAAGTAAGTGACTAGGCATGGATGGTTCCCAATAAAACTTTATTAAAAACAAATTTGCCAACTCCTGTCTTAAACCACAGGAAACATTCTAATCTGAAACTTTAAAAACTAAATAGCAGGGGCTTAAAATCAAGATAAAATTTTTTCCTTGAGAATAATCACAAACTGGTACTCCTACTTCCTTATTGCTGTTGTTAGGTGCCATCGAGTCGGTACCGACTCACAGCCACTGCACAGCAGAACGAAACACTGCCCGATCCTGGGCCAACCTCACTGCTGTTGCCACGCTTGAGCCCATTGATGTCGCCACTTGGCCAATCCATCTCACCAATGGTCTTCCTCTTTTTCTCTGACCCTCCACCTTACCGAACATGATCTCCTTCTCCAGCGACTGGTTCCTCCTGACAATATGTCTGAAGTATGAGAGACAAAGTTTGGCCATCTTGGCCTCCAAGGAACACTGTGGCTGCACTTCTTCCTAAATGAATCTATTGGTTTTTTTTGCAGCCCATGGCACTTTCAATATTCTCCTCCAACACCATAACTCAAA